GTTTTCAACGTTGATAATCATCATAAATGTTTCTTGAGCATCAAATCAACATATTATAATGATTTCTGAAGGATCATGTGACACTGAAGACTGGAGTAATGATGCTGAAAATTCAGCTTTGATCACAGGAATAAATTACACTTTACTATATATTCACATAGAAAACAGCTTTTTTAAAATGTAATAATATTTCACTGTTTTTATTGTATTTATGATCAAATAAATGCAGCTTTGGTGAGCAGAAGAAAGTCTTCAGAAACAATTAAAATATTACCGACCCCAAACTTTTTACATTAGTGCATATCTGTATTGGCTTTGAAATGGTATAAAGGGAGATTATTTTCTTTTTTCAATAGGAGAAAAAATATTTCAAAACTAAATGAACACAAAGAAGTCATTTTCTCTTATATGCACCAATACACAATGCATTACGATAAAAAGCAATACTTATCGTTTATCAATCTTTTTGCATATAAAATGACTAAAAATTGCCTCAACAAGCTTCTGAATGAATAATAATGATATGCAAATTAAAACAATTTGGTTTAAGAGTGACTGAAGAGGGAGTTTTGAGTTGCAAACATTACAGTCGCATAGTCTATCAAACTGGCTTATTCAAAAGAGCAAAATCCCTGAAATCACACGTAAAGCGCACAGATTTGATGTTTTGCCCTTTATTTAACCAGATAAAACCTTCTGAGATTAAAAAAACTCTTTTACAGAAGTGACCTGGCCAAAATGAGCAGCACAACATTATCAAAAAATAAAATAAAAAATAAGCAAAAGATGATGTGCGTTTTCATCTGGTAGAAGATTGCAATGTCTTAAAACAGTTCCTGGTAAATGTTAAATGTCTTTAAGATGTGTACTGAAATCTGCTTTTTTAAATAAGTGCATCAGATGTTTGTTGTTTTGCAGATGGATTACTTTTTAACAGATGTACATGTGCTCTTATTTCCACACTATGATCTCACTAGTGTAGTTCTGCTGGATTGTATGACTGTAAAAGAGAAAAGAAGCATATTGAGATGAGAAGAGCGAGCGAGTGGTAAGGTCATACTTGCGGCAGGACGGCGGTGCTGTTGGGCTGCTGTGGACGGACACTGACACTCGTCTGGACCGGTGTCACACTGCTCTTGTTGGGCTGGAGAGGTTGAGTGAGAGAGTGCTGGCTGTTCAGGAGAGACAGGCGCAACGCAGGGAGACTTTTCTGCAAACACAAACACGTTTTATTGCCTTTCTTCCTATCACTGTAGCACATATTTCAGTAACCACTCATTCACACTTTTTAAACAAATGTGAAAAAACATGGAACGTACTATTGAAATTGAAATTTAAAAACATTTGCACATTTCTAATCGTGCTGCTTTGACTTGGAAATTTTCAAATACTGAACTTCTGATATAATATTGCAAATAATCTACTTGTAGAAGACCTTTAGAATAACGTGCACTGATGAATCATTCACAATAACAAAAGTGTAATTCCTATTCCATTTTAGAATATAAAGTTCTGTGTGTGAAAACGGTCATTTTTCTCACAGAGGCCGACAAAAATCATTAACCTCAGTAATCAAAGACGTGTCCCCGTGAGGACCCCGCGGGCTCCCGATGGCTATTTCTGGAGGATTTGGACGTAAGCCAGCTAACGGAGCTTGACAGCGCGACCGCATTAGCGTGCCAGGTCGGACCGCGCAGGATATGACACGTCTTACGCCTTCAAGCTACTGACCGCGAGGATCACAAGCCACGCGTGTGTTAACCAGTGTTGTGTGTGTTACGTAATCACTCAGATTACTTTTTTTTCAAGTAACTAGCAAAGTAACGCATTACTTTTAAATTTACAGCAAAATATCCGAGTTACTTTTTCTAATAAGTGACGGAAGTTACTTTTTCACATGTATTGACTGACAGCTCTCTCATCCTCATGTTGAGAAAGATTGTGAGTGAGTGCAGAGATGTTGTGTCTAATTGTGAGCATGCATTTACTAATCTCACTTGCACAAAAAATATTCAATATTCAAAATTAATAAAATGAGTGAAATGCAAAATCAGAATAATACGCAAACCTCCAATAATTAAATATGTTAAATAAAACAAATATTTGTATGCATATAATCTCACTTTATTGACCAATGTACTTGCTGCTAATCTTCGATGATTTAGATAAGCAAAAATGACTTCAGATTTATTGTTTTTATTGGTAAAGTACTGTAAGTGTTAAACTTTCTTCTCCTGCATCCTATTCTCCTGTGATCCAGAATGGCCTGAGTGGCGCCCTCTACTGTACACGTGTGAATTTGCATTTCCTTCAGCCTTATTATTTCAATTTTGGTCTGAAAAGGCCTTTACATTCACCCAAAAATAGAACTGGAAATAGAAGAAAAAAACACACGCCCAGCCCAGGTGAGAAAAAGTAACGTAACGCATTACTTTTCTTTAAAAGCAATGCAATTAGTTACTTTTTAAGGGAGTAACGCAATATTGTAATGCATTACTTT